ACCATAAACACCTTCAGAAATAGCCACCCCTTATTAACTCTAAAGCAAAAAAGGAATACAAAGGCTAAAGAAACATTTTTTAAAAAATTAAGGCTAAAGTAATACTTTGTTTAACCTTTAAAATTAAAAAATATTACTGATTTAAATCTGCAAAATTAGCTGGGAATGGTTGCTCACGCCTGTAATTCCAGCACTTTAAGATGCCAAGGTGGGAGGATCGCTTAAGCCCCCAAGTTTGAGACTAGCCTGGGCAACATGCTGAAACCCTATCTCTACCAAAAAAAAAAAAAATTAGCCAGGTATGGTGGCGCACATCTGTATTCTCAGCTACTCGGGAGGCTGAGGTGGGAGAATAGCATGAGCATGAGAAGTTGAGGCTGCAGTGAACTGTGATCATGCCACTGCACTCTAGCCTGGGTGATGAGAGAACCTGTCTCAAAAATAAAATAGAAAAAATAAAGCAGATATCTTTGCTAAGGTGATCTGCTGTCGTTTTTGGGGCAGAGTCTCGCTCTGCCACCCAGACTGGAGTGTACTGGAATGATCATGGCTCACAGGAGCCTCAACCTCCCACGCTCAAGCAATCCTCCAACCTCAGCCTCCTAAGTAGTTGGGACCACCGGTGTATGCCATCATGCCTCGCTAGTTTTTTTCCCTCCACGCCATAGAGATAAGGACTCACTTTGTTGCCCAGGCTGGTCTCAAGCAATCCTCCTGCCTCAGCCTCCCAAAGTGCTGGGATTACAGGCGTGAGCCACTGCACTTGGCCTGATTTGTTTTAAAAATAATCACTGACACGGAAATAGATTTTAAACCCCAGCAAAAATGGTAATTAATTATTTGAGCCTAATCCTAATTTCCAAAATTACGTAGCAGGCTCTCAATTTGGAGTATAAAACTATACTCTGAAATAGACACAAAAACTCAGCTGAAAATAGTCCACCTTCATTGTTTGTTTAATTTCATTTACTTTTCAACATTTTACAAGATATTTAGCATTTCGCCCCCTCATACTAACACAATAAATCAACTGTCTAAATGCAGAAATTTTAGATATAAGAGTAACTATGAAAACTGATTAAAGCAGTATGTTTTAAATATCTTTTGATATTGCATGGTCCCCAATAACAAACGGAAAGAGGTTAAGTGATTGTTACTTCTTTTCTTTTCTTTTCTTTTTTTGAGACGGAGTTTCGTTCTTGTCGCCCAGGCTGGAGTGCAGTGGAGCGACCTCAGCTCACTGCAATCTCTGCCTCCTGGATTCAAGCAATTCTCCTGCCTCAGCCTTCCAAGTAGCTGGGATTACAGGCGCCCACCACCACGCCTAGCTAATTTTTTGTATTTTTAGTAGAGACGGGGTTTCACCATGTTGGGCACGCTAGTCTCAAACTCCTAATCTCAGGTGATCCACCCGCCTCAGCCTCCCAAAGTGCTGGCATTACAGGTGTGAGACACCACATCCGGCCTCTGTCTTTTATGTAATTTATCATAGCCTTTCTCTGAACCTCCATTTATAAACTTGGTCTAAGGCAGGAACACTCAAGGTTTTGTAGATAACAATTATAGGAAACTACTGTGTGTTCTTTTTTCTTAATGTAAAACAAAGCCATCCAAAAAATTAATATTTAATCAACTTTACTGAAATGAAGCATTTAGGGTCAGCCATTGAACATTACTGATAATGTCAACGACACTGGTATTTTTAAAACTCAATTTCAGGGACCTTAAGTCAGAATACATCTCACTTCTGAGTCCAGACTGATGGTTCCAATGGTAGCTCAATTAATCTTACCACTTTCATCAATCGGACTATGATGTACTTTCACAAACTCAGGTGGACCCAGAAACTGCCCAGGGCTCATGATAGCTGTCTCCATATATTCTGCATATGTCAAAGGAATATATCTCATTTTAAGCTCAATTTGGTCTTAATTTAAATGTGGGCAGACATTTGAGAATATTTCAAAAAATTCAGATAGAATATTGAGGTTTGTGCTCCGAAAGGCAGAATCACAAGAGGAAAGCATGATTTGCAACTATTAAAATCTGTAACGGCTTCATTCCCACCAAATGGCCTGGTACATTTACTTTCTTTCTTTCTCCCCCTTGGAGACAAGGTCTTGCTCTGCTGCCCAGGCTGGAGTGCAGTGGTGGGATCATAGCTTACTGCAGCCTCAAACTCCTGGGCTTAAGCAACCCTCCCACCTCAGCCTCCCAAGTATCTGGAACTACAGGGCCTGGTTTTTTATTTTTTGTAGAGATGGGGTCTCACTTTGTGGCCCAGGCTCATCTCAAACTCCTGGGCTCAAGCGATCCTCCTGCCTCAGCCTCCCAGTGTTTACAGGCATGAGCTTGGTCAGGCATGGTGGCTCATGCCTATAATCCTAGCACTTTGGGAGGCCAAGACAGGAGGATCGCTTGAGCCCAGGAGGCCGAGGTTTTGGTGAGCTATGATTATGACACTACACTCCAGCCTGGGTGGCAACAGAGTGAGACCCTGTCTCCAATCAATCAATCAATCAATCAATCAATCAAGGTGTGAGCCACCACGCTCAGCAGTAAATTTTCAAGATCGGAAATTCAGTTAGCAAAAGAAAAAAAAAAAAGTTTTTCACGTGTAGTCCACTTAACCTTCACAACCAGTCCAAGTCTTAATGTCCACACACATTTGGGAAAAAATTTCTTGAACCTGTAATTTCATGTTTAGGGGATTGTAATGCAATGTATGGGAAAAGAAATCTTGGAGGCCACCAAGCGGTCCATATGAAAAGTTAGGTTTCTTGGATTTGGATCTTTGAAAATAATCCTTGACCTAAGCAATCAGCTTAATACATTTCAATATAACATTCATGATTTAACCATCTGACAGCAAAATTCCAACTAAGTCTCCATACTCAAAATTCAACTGCTTTCACATATCCCATTTAACTGGTATTTAATGTTGTCCTATCTGGGAAAATTATTTAGCTTTTCTTATGTTTGAACCAACCAAACTTCTCAAAATTTTCACTGGCAAGTAGGTAAATCCTACTTCCTAGGTGCTAAATATCTAGGTTAAAAGCTTTTTACAGTAAAAATCTCAAGCTAGCCCTACCATCTAGAGATAAAAGTTACATACTGAATGCCCTGGATGAGATCTTCCTTACTTAATAATTATAATTGGCTCTAGAAATGTATATAGATCATATGACATTCTAAATGTTTCTCAAGCAGTTCTGACCTGTTCCAAATGTGTTAAATTTTAAAGAACTCCTGGAGTTGCTCTTAGTTTAGTAAAATTTAGGGCAGTCCATCTCAAACTTGATGGAAGAAGGTCTGTGAAGGCTTAACCTATTATCCTTTGAAAAGATAATACTCCTTTGAATTGTTATGTTTCATGGTAACATCAGAGTGACCATTTTGCAGTGATCACCCTAAAAATTCCATGCCAGTTTTACTATGCAAATAACATATTTGTGCATCCTCATCAGGGGAACTACATTTTTTTTCTTTGTAATTGTCTAATAAATGAATTCTGAGAATATTCATATTTATCCTATAACAGGCCATGTTTAACCTACAAATTCCACTTACAAGTCTTACAAGTTCAATTGTCTCAGCTTCATAAGGTGACCATAAATTTTTAATGTTTCTATTGATTCCTTTACAAATTTACTCACAAGTTCTCTTAAATCAGGGGTTCCCAAACTTAAGTGTGTAAATTCTGAATCAGTAAGCTGGAGCAGAGTTAAAGAGTCTGCATTTTTAAACAAGTACTGCAGGCGGTCCTGAAACAGGAGAAATGCCGATGCAAGCCATGTGTGAGATTTCCTGCCTTACAACAGGTTTCACAGGTAGGTTCAAGATAATAAAATATTCCCTGGAAATTCTCAGCGGGTTGCACCAATAAGGCTTATTCCTGTTACTCTGTCTTCAAGGTCATGCAAGCTGGAAAAACAGACGCAATTTGTATTTGGCATAATAGAAATAAAATTGTTCTAACAAGTCCCTCACATCAATATTAAGAGGTAGTTTGCCTTCTTTTTTCTTTTTATTTTATTTATTTATTGAGATGCAGTGTTGCTCTGTCGCCCAGGCTGGAGTGCAGTGATGCGATCTCAGCTCACTACAACCTCCACCTCCCAGGTTCACACGATTCTCCTGCCTCAGTCTCCCAAGTAGTTGGGATTACAGGCGTGCACCACCACGCCCAGCTAATTTTTGTATTTCTAGTGAGAAACAGGGTGTCACCATGTTGGCCAGGCTGGTCTTGAACTCCTGACCTCAGATGATCCAGTCTCCAAAGTGCTGGGATTATAGGCATGAGCCACCACGCCCAGCCAGAAGTAGTTTCCTTTCTAATTCAAGGTAATTCTGTTGTCATACTCCTAGGAGCTACCTCCTAGTTTTGATAAATTCAATCCTTTTGGGAAGGCTGGACTTAATAAGGGTCTACAGTTCTGCCTTTCAGACTCTTAACAGTTACCAAGTCTCCATTATAGCAACAGAAAAATCTATCCTCCCTAACCAAAACAATGCTTTTTATTAAGTTGAACAATAAATAGAACCATCTTTTAAAACAGAAGACAATGGAAACATGTCAATAAATAAAGCCAGAATAGTGTCCTCATTCAGGATCATACGCTGCCTTCTCATATACTGCAACACAAACAGTGTGTATGATGTGTAACTCAAACTCGCCCTGCTTGTGTCTTACCTGGACCTATCCATGCTGTTACTTCAATCTGCATGCCAAAGAAAAGTTTTCCTTTTGATGCAGTCAAGGCTTTTTCTTGGTCCTCTTGCTGACGAAAGAATACCAGACCATACCTCTCTTCTGAAGTTCCATGTATCTGCACTGAAGTTACTTTTCCAAATTTCTTAAATTCATGGAAAAGGCCATCTTTAAGGCTTGTATCTAAATTCCCAAACAGAACCAAGTTATTAATTCTTCTAATTTAATTATAACTCAATAAGCAACCTACTAAATCTTTAGCCTGATTTTCTCATTTTTTTGTTCATGTCAGATAGGTAATATGCCAATGTCGTAACAAGGTTTGAAGGAGGCACAGCGCACACGGCGTGAAAACCCAATAATCATGCTTATGAACCACAAATGGATCTAGCCTGAGATGTGACTTAAGTTTTATTGTCATTAAAACATTACTTTTTCAAACAAAAAAGCTCCAAAAACACATTTTGGAGATTATTGTACAAGTCTGAAAATAAACTAAGTGTTAGATGACAGTATTGGTTATTTGTTAGGTAAGAATGATACTGTGGTTATCCAGAAAAATGCCCTTATATATTATAGATATATACATAAATATATATCTGTAAGTGGGTGTGAAAAAAAAAAAATCAAGGATTCACCCTAAAGGTTAAAAAAAAAAAAAAAAAAAAAAAAGAGTAGGAAAGCCAGAAGACAGGAAACAGATAAAGCAAAAATGGCAAAATGATGATTTCTGAATCTTGGGTATAAGGGGAGTTCATTTTGCTATTCCTTCTACTTAGGGGTATGTTTCATAATAAAAATTTTATATATATATTTATAAAGTGTTAAAGACTTGAAATGGAAAGGCATCTTTCTATCTTTCCAAGGATCATCTCAATGATAAAATTGTGGGAGAAGTGTCATGTAGCATGCTAAACAATTTTAATATCCTTTACAGATGAAAAAGTCACTTCTACAATGTCTAAGCAGGCCTGATGAATCCTGCAGATTCTTTTGGAATTTTAAGCATTTTGTGATTCATTCCTGGGGTTCTGCTTGATGTTTCTTCGGACTGTCTCACGTCTAACCTCTCCTAGAATCACCATCTGGGGGTCTTGTGTTAATTTGCTTTATTAGAAATATAAAAGGTGTATAGAAAGGCAAGCCAATTTTACTCCCTTGTCCATTTCTAAATTACCAAGTACTCTAAATCAAAAGCTCATCAACATTGATGTCTCAATAACTCTACTCACAAACCTGATACATAAGTTTTTAGGCTATTTTAATAAATAATTTAAGCAATCACTGAAATACACTTAGCTAAGAAATACTTAATTTGGTCTTTGTTGGTATAACTATATACTAACAGTTTTAACTTGTTTACATGCTCAACATGACTAATGTAGGAGTAACAGTATATTATGGTCAGCTGTCAATTAAAAATATTACGAGTAAAGGAGAGACCACAGAATAGCTTAAGCAGACTTTTCCATTATTCATAGGTTTCCTCATTTAAAACGTTAATATTTTGAAATGGGTTTTCCATCACAATTTTATGCCCAAAGTTATTTCAAGGTAATGCAGTATCATACCTCATTCCTCAGTAGTAGCACAGAGGAAAGGACATTCACACAAAATTTTACCTGTAGAGCGTACTGGAAGATTCTGGACCTTGATCCCAAAACTTTTACGGGGCTCATCTTTTTCCAGAGATGAAAGCAACTGCGAAGTGGGTGCTGGGACTGCTGCAGACTGAACTGATCGAGCTGGAGAATCATCACTTGAACTACTGCTGGAATCACTGCTGCAAAAAGGCAACAACAACAACAAACTTCAGTGAAAAGACAAACAGAAAATGAGTAGCATTAGAAAACTTCTTAAAATAACTAACAGGTCTAAACTTCGGGCTGGAATTTCTGGAGGCCCTGCATTCTACACATCTCTCTCATACTCTACCTTTAGAGGTGGCAGAAGACTATAAACATGCAGGAGCACAAAAGTATAATCTTCATTTACCACCACGTACCACCAATGCAAGTGTTGCATTCTATTAATAACGTGAACAAATTTTTTCAAATGAAGTAAGACTAGTGAATTCAATTCACTTAGTGTAATAATAATAATAGTAAGTATATGGGTTTGGGATTCAGAGGTCTGGATTCAAATCTTGGATCAGACATATAGCACGTGTAAGTGGACAAATAACACCTTTGAAATGGGTTTCCTATCATAATTTTATGCCCAAAGTTACTGCATGCAACACAGGACTCTCAGCCAACGTAATAAAACTAAATGAAAATAGTATTTCTAAAATTTCATCATACCCAATTTCCCCCAATATCAAATGTGTAAAATGAAAATAATCATAATAGTACCTATATCACAGGGTTAAGAAATAAAACAATCGGGGTGCAGTGGCTCACGCCTGTAATCCCAGCACTTTGGGAGGCCGAGGCAGGTGAGGTCAAGAAATTGAGATCATCCTTGCCAACATGGTGAAAACCCGTCTCTACTAAAAATATAAAAATTAGGTGGGTGTGGTGGCGGGCACCTGCAGTCCCAGCCACTCGGGAGGCTGAGGCAAGAGAATCACTTGAACCTGGGAGGCTGAGGTTGCAGTGAGCCAAGATCATGCCACTGCACTCCAGCCTGGGTGACAGAGCAAGACTCCATCTTCAAAAAAAAAAAAAAAAAAAAAAAAAAGAATTAAATGAAACAATACACGAGTTTACAGAGTTTGGAATATGACAGGTATCCAATAAATAAAACAGAGCTGGGTGTGGTGGCTCACATCTATGATCCCAGCACTTTGGGAGGCAGAAGCGGGAGGATCGCTCAAAGCCAGGAGTTTGAGACCAGCCTGGGTAACAGAGTCAGGCCTTGTTTTTAAAACAAACAAACAAACAAATAAATGAAGCAGTACTTCTCAGTTACTAGTAGTAGTAGCAGCAGCACTACTATCTCATGGGTAATTTTTAGGAAAACAATACCCAAAATAATTTTCCAGATAGATGCAATTTTTAAATTACTGAAGGACTAATGAATAAATATTATGTGAGTTACTACAGTCATGTTACTTTAGGCTTTCTTCACTGTGGATAACATGGAAAAGTGATAGTTAATGAAACTAATCTCTTCAGTTTAATAAAATCCTCAAATAGAAAGATAGTCAACTGAAGGACAAGAAGGAAATGTTACTTACACAGTCAAATTAAGAAAAAAATATATTTAAATAAGTTTATTATGCCTTACTTCTCTATGCAAGTTCATAGAAAAAAGTTTATTATGCCTAAGAACTATGTGAGAAACATAAAATTCTCCTTTCAGTACTGGACACGCAAGACTTTTGTGGCTTGCTTTTATGGCATTCTCAAATAGGTTAATAAAAAGTTATTTACAGATTTTATTATCTTTCTGAAATTTTGCTTCATATTCTCCTCCATGTTATAAAGCCCTCACCTTTCAAGCGAATCATTTTGAGTGGTGAATCCATCTTAAGCACACTAGCTATAGGACAAGACTCAGGGTAGTTTCTGTCTTCGCACTAGAACTACAGCTCTCATATTCAGGACAATCACTAATCCATCCAGACAAATGAGTCCAAATCTAGGTTGAAAAAAATTTGCTACAGCCCTTTTTTTTTCTTTTGAGACAGAGTAAGGCTGAAGTGCAGTGGTGTGATCGTGGCTCACTGCAACCTCCACCTCTCGGGTTCAAGTGATTCTCATACCTCAACCTCCTGAGTAGCTGGAATTACAGGCATGCACCACCGTGCCCAGCTATTTTTTGTATTTTTAGTGGAGATGGGGTTTCACCATGTTGCCCAAGTTGGTCTCGAACTCCTGACCTCAAGTGATCCGCCCACCTCAGACTCCCAATGTGCTGAGAAATACACGCATGAGCCAACACATCCAGCCGCTATAGCATTTTTTAAAAGCTAAATAAATTCTATGTTTTCTTATAGAAAACTAAAGATGTTTCTAGAAAACTAATAATTTACACACCATTTTTAGCTCTCACATGTTACAGCAATAGACGAAAACTTGACTGGGTGCAGTGGCTTAGTTCCTGTAATCCTACCACTTTGAGAGGCCAAGGCAGGAGGACTGCTTGAGGCCAGCAGTTCAAAACCAGCCTGGTCAACATAGCAACACCCCATCCCTACAAAAGAAAAATTAAAAAATTAGCTGGGCATGGGCATGGTGGCACATACCTGTAATCCCAGCTACTTGGGAGGCTGAGGCAGAGGATCACATGAGCCTAGGAGTTTGAGGTTGCAGTGAGCCATGGTTACACCATTGCACTCCAGCCTAGGCAACAGAGTGAGACCCTGTCTCAAAAAAAAAAAAAAAAAGATGAAAACATGCCAGGCACAGTGGCTCATGCCTGTAATCCCAGCACTCTGGGAGGCCAAGACAGGTGAATCACTTGCGGCCAAGAGTTCGAGGCTAGCCTGGCCAACATGGTGAAACCTCATCTCTACTAGAAATACAAAAATTAGCCGGGCTTGATGGCACATGCCTGTAATCCAAGCTACTCGGGAGGCTGAGGCATGAGAATCACTTGAACCAGGGAGGCAGAGGCTGCATTAAACTCTGATTGCGCCACTGCACTCTAGCCTGGGCGACAGAGTGAGACTCTCTCAAAAAAAAAAAGAAAAGAAAAGAAAAGAAAAAGCTTAATAAGGTTATCAGCATTTTCTGATAGTGGTTTGAAATGCAGGAAAATAAACCTGTCAGTTCAAACTACTAGGGATAAAGGCCTTGAGATAAAATCATAAGCTGTCATTGCTAGGCCCCTTATGAATGACTTAGGTTTAGCTTTCCCATCTATAAGAAGAAAAAATGATTGCTGATCATCCAGCAAAAGCAGTGTTACTAATATTAAGTAAATACTATCCTGAATACGATATTGTCATTGATATTAGGGTTTAATGAAATTATCTTCTGTTTTTAGCACAGAAGGAAAAAGATACTTGTTATACATGTTAAATATTCCAAATAATATTAATACAAGATTATTCACAAGGCCACCAGATGACAGTATAGAATGTTATGTGACTTATCAACTTAGTCAATGGCAACAATCATAAACATTAAGGAAAATATTTTAATTACAATACTACCAATATTATATACACCAAATTTCCTTAGCAACAGTGGTTACAGAGGTAAACAATCACGAGCAAAAGCAAAATGTATGGCTATTGAAATCACTAATAAGGGCCAAGTGCGGTGGCTCATGCCTGTAATCCCAGCACTTTGGGAGGCCGAGGCAGGCAGATCAGGAGGTCAAGAGATCGAGACCATCCTGGCCAACATGGTGAAACCCCATCTCAACTAAAAATACAAAAAAATTAGCTGGGTATGGTGGTGCGCGCCTATAGTCCCAGCTACTCAGGAGGCTGA